CAGAAAACTGCGATTATCTCGGAAACTAAATTCGACAAAGTGGTCCCTTTTCATGCGGACATCCACAATTATTAAAAAGGAAATTTATCATAAAAAAAAATTATAATTCGATGAAATAATGAATTGATCATTTGGAAAACGCATTAGAAATATTTAAAGAATATTTTTGGAGTATAGCTCCGAACAATTAATGATAAAATTAATTTTGATTTCAACCGAAATAATTTATCGGAAATTGAGATGTGAATATAGTCTCTCTATCGTATAATATTTAAAAATAAAAGATATTTTTCAGTTCGCATTAGAATCCTATCTAGATTCAACAGATTCAAATATTTTCAATTGAACAGTAATTCATTTAATTGATGTATTCATTCATCCCAAAATTTAAGAAGTCAATTGATAAACTTTAAGGTGTTTGCATTACAATTCAATTTAGTTCAGTGAATATTATTTTGATCATCGTAAATTCTCTAAATTGAGATTTTTAAAATAATTTACTATTCAATTCGATTTGATTAATTATCATCGTTATGAAAAAGTATTTTGTAAAAAGAATTATTTACAAATTATAAATATTATACACGTGTCCCTTGACCGTTGGAATTTCGTGTTTATCTCCCTTATTCGCCGGGTGGGTGCAAAGGGCGTAGGCGCGTGAGAAAATTTCATATTCAATGGAAAATTCTGAAGATTTGAAGGGTCTGGTAGCAGACCTTCGACCCTGAGTCCGCGACATGCAGTCGCCTGTAAGTCATAAAATATACAAAATATCACCGGGGACAAACACTTGAAGAATATTTGGCGGCTTATCATTCGAACTTTATTTTTCCATTTTATGAATTTCCCCGGAAATTTACTTAAAAATCATGTACTCTAGATGAATCATTTTGTGCAGCTGCACTCTCGAGTCGTAGGAAAATAACTATTCGAGTTGGTGAGAAACATATTTAAACGAATGAAAACATCTGGTTATGTCCAGTTATAATTAAAATGATAGAAATATAGTAATTATTTAAAATATTTATTTCAATCAAAAAGAAAAATGAATGTAATGAATTTTTCGAGGGACGTCGAAAATTGAAGGAAAAATTAATTAGTACATTTTGCGACGAACGTCACAATTGGAAGGTCAGCAAAACAGGGCTTTCGATAAATTCTCCTGAACTTGATTATACTTCAAAGATATAGTTGTTATTACAAATAATGTATTGAGATTTTTTTTACAAGAACGAGAAATTGAGAAAATGATGGATTTTCAACCCGTCTTATCTCTCCATCTTTTTCTTCCATATAATAAGTTTATTATATTGTCTTTTCTGTGGATCCATATGGATTTTCTGTGAAATCCATATGAATTTCAATGGGATTTTCACTATCATTTTATTTAAACGCCGCATTCGAAAGTTGGCTGCCTTACGGCCGGAATGACAAAAAACATTGAGGGATGTTACATTTGAAGGAAAGAAGGACCCTGTCCGACACGCAAGAACTGAATCAAGAACGACAAGAACAAACGTATCGAGCTACCGATTGCAACTCCAGTTGCTAAGTCAAATTGTCAAATCGACAATTTGAATACCTGCAAAACTGGGCGTTGCTAACCGCGCAGAGGACATTTTTACATCAGTATCGTCTTAGTAACCCTCGAATTCAGACCAAAAGGGCCAACTCCTTGAGCTCTACGCATATAAAATTACTATCGATACATTGGAATCGGCGAGGGGCTAGTCACTTAGGAAATCACTGGACCACTTGACTGGAAATCAAGGAAGAAATCACCAGAAATCAATAGAAATCATAAAGAAGTCAAGTAATTTCCGAAATCATTAGAAATCATCGATAAGTGCAAAATCTAAATTGATTTTTCAATTTCAACTCTGCAATTTTTGTTATGGTATCGGTACGTTCGAAATCACCCAGTCCCGAAATGCGACGCTATACAAAGCAAAGTATTTGAATATGAAGTTTTTGACATCCTTACGTATTGTAACGTCATGAAGAAAATTGTCATTATCGACAGATGCCCCACTCTGGTCCCAAAATCATGATTTCTCCAGTGATTTCATGAAATCAAGGAATCATTGGAATCTACTAGAAATCATGGAAATCACAAGAAATAAAACGAAATCATGATTTCTAATGCTGATTGAGAAATCACAGAAATCATCAGGAAATCACAGGAAATCATCTGATTCTGGAAATCACTGAGTCACTCGGTTGAAGAGTGATCAGCCCCTCGGGAATCGGTTATTTATCCGCCCGACGAATACGCGTAACTTAAGGTTCAAAAGTTTAGAACAATTGTGTCGATCTTCTCAGTTCCGGATTCTGGCGCGGTCGGTTGGTGAATCGGAAAATTATTCATTACTAGCGGTGAAATACCATTAATTTTCTTTTTGCTTTTTGTACATAAAAGGCACATTTATGTAACTAGATTAATTGAACTCATTCAATTGTGAAATTATAAAATTTGTGATTGTGTAATGAAACTTTAGGGCATTCGACGGAGAATATGTTCGCACTGACTGATGTGAGTTGACTTTTAAAGAGAAATTCTAATCTGGGTTATCCCAAATTTTTATTTACCTCTTCATTCCGTTTCAAATCGAATCCAAATTATTTTCAATGTATCTAATTTCGAATTGGTTAAAAATATAGCGTAAGTACGTTCAGTGAAAATACCATGTTCTTATTAATTTATTGCCCTTAATTCTTCGTAGAAGAATATGAGGCATTCCACGACAAAAGAGTCAACCGCTGACCCTTGGCAATTAATAGCGATTTTTCCTACGATTGTGGGGGGGGGG